CAAATCAAACCAAATTTCTATATCAAATGTGTTCTAAATTATATTCTATAGTATAGAAATATATTCAAAATCAATATTTTTATATCAAATTTCCATATTAAATGTGCTCTATAATATAGAAATTATATAATATTCTAAATCAATATTTCTATATCAAATATCAAATATCCGTATCAATTTCTATATCAAATCAAACCAAATTTCTATATCATATATATTCTAAATCCTATTCTATATTCTGTAGTATAGAAATATATTCTAAATCATACTCTAAATTCTAAATCAATATTTCTATATCAAATATCAAATATCAAATGTATTTCTATATCAAATCAAACCAAATTTCTATATCAAATGTGTTCTAAATTATATTCTATAGTGTAGAAATATATTCAAGATCAATATTCAAAATCAATATTTTTATATCAAATTTCCATATTAAATGTGCTCTATAATATAGAAATTATATAATATTCTAAATCAATATTTCTATATCAAATATCAAATATCCGTATCAATTTCTATATCAAATCAAACCAAATTTCTATATCATATATATTCTAAATCCTATTCTATATTCTGTAGTATAGAAATATATTCTAAATTATATTCTATATTATATAGTACAGAAATATATTCTAAATCATACTCTAAATTCTAAATCAATATTTCTGTATCAAATTCTATTGAAAATACCAAACTTCTCTATTAAATATATTTCTGTATCAGATCTCCATAATTATATATCAAACGTCAGTACATTTTTATACTAAATATATTTAACCAGACAAATTTAATGCTCGTTCATAAATGAAAACTTCAACACTTTCCACCAGTACGAAAAATCCCGTCCCAATGAGACAGGAGGTACAGTTGAATTTGCAACGAACTCGAACCGTTTACGATTAATCCCATCCGTGTTCGATCGGTCAGTCAAAGTAACTGAGAAGAGACACGTACAGACGTAAGGGACGGCCAATCGAGTGACATTTCCACAATGAGCCGCGATAACAATGAACGGATGGTTGCCGGATGCGGCAAGTTCTGTTGGCGACGGTTCGCGGCAGAATAAGGCCGCCGGCTGCATTGAGAATCGAGCGTTTCGTGGCTGTATCTCGTCGTCATTGTCCCCACGTGCAGCCAGCAACGCGATTAATTCTCAGTTGGCATCGTGTCGACGCGCCTAACGAGACCACCGTTCGCCACCACGTGCCTCACTTTCCTGTTCGCGTTGCACGAGAGATCGAGTGTTGTTGGAAGACGGCCGAGGAGATGCCGAACGTCGAGAAACTGGCGAAGAAACGACTGAAGAAAATGTGAGCAACACGTTTCCGAGAGTGTCCCTCAATTATTTCGTACGATGGTGAAAGTAACGAAACGAAACGTAAATTTTGGCACGAAATTTTGGACGAAGGATCGCGTCGAGATTGTTTGAAAGTGATCGAGATCATCGGGTTAATTTCGTTAAGTGTGACGTTTTGGAGCGATAGTTGGATTTAGTTTGAAACGAGTTTACACGCGGTTATGTGATATTTGGCTGTGTGTCACAGTAGGAATCGATGGTTCTTGAGTTTATTGGTGATAAATTTCTGAACGATAAATTGAAATTCTGTTATGTGGTAAAATTGCTTGTAATAGAATACTATTGATTCTTTTTTATGTTTGAAGTTACTCCTAATCGTATTCTTTTTCGTGATGATTTAATGTAGCATGTTCTTTTGTTGCCACGTAATAAATGCGTAAATAATACAGTTCGATTAATTAATTATAGTCAGTGTTCCGTGTCAATTAGAACCAGTTATTCTTCAGAAACGTAAAGAACTTGCATTTAGTTATAATCGACTTTTCAATGAAAAGTTGACGACAGACAAATAAAAGCAATTAAAAAAATTGTTTTGAGAAACCATTAAATAAAGTTTCTTTTTTTTTAAAGTTACCACGTTCAATGATAACGATGAAAGTGAAATACGCATTATTATGATGTAATAAATATTTTACCAAATACACATGTTTAGCTTAAATGAAGCTTCGTACATACACGTATTACAACCTCGAGCAACTGTTCAATTCGTACTTTCGATTTCCAAGCAACAATCCAACCGACAATTTTTAAAATATGTTTCGAAATTTCCTCTAAAACGAAAATACAAAGCTGATTCAAAGTTCCATTTGCCAGGCGGAGTATTATTTTTCTCGTATCCGCCGGCGACAAATTGCAAGGCACGAGTCCCGAAACGAAAGAAACGAAAATTTCATCTCGAAAACTCGGTATTAACCGGGGCTGTACGTGTTCCTCGAAGTCCGCAAGGGGGTAAAGAAGCGGATGGAAAAATCCATCGATGGATGCTATTGTAGTCGTTGGGAATCAGTTTCAGGTTGTCGTTCAAACGCAAGGAGCACACGAGCAGACGCGAGCATCGAGAATCACTGAGCGGTGCGGTGCCAGCCAAGTTTATACGAGCGACCACTGTGAAGCAGCACACGCTTAGTCCACGATGGAACGAGAAGTTTCGTTTGTAAGCAGCCCCTTGGGAACTTTCTTCTTCCTCTTCCTCTTCTTCCTATTTTTCTTTATCTCTTTATTTCTTGTTGCTTTCTCTCTTTCTTTTTCTGTCGACCAGAAAAGCGATCGGGAGAAGCGTTACGCGAAATTCTATATCGGATCAACGTAACAGAAATATGCTTCAATATTTAAACGTGTACGGGTTTCTCTCTTCTCTGTTTTTCAGCGACATCGACGACATCAACGCGGACATTCTGCATCTGGACATATGGTGAGTGCTGTCGTTTACCCGAGCTGGTTTTCTCTTCGTGAACACCGCGAATATATGGTGCATAGATGCGATTCTGCGAAATTTGCTTTTCGATGAGCGCTGA